TACAGTTGACCGGGGAAGCTTTAGCTGGGCAGAAATGTGACAAACTGACTTGTTGGAAAGGTGGCATCCTATGACGGTGCCATGTTGAAAGTCACTCAGCTCTACAGAACGGGTCATTCTACTGCCAATGTTTGTCTATGGAGATAGCATGGCTGTGTGCTCAATTTTATACACCTGTCAGCAACGGGTGTGGCTGAAATTGCCAAATCCACTAATTTGAAGGGGTGTCCACATACGCATTTTCAAAACGCCGGTTTACCAATGTGTGATTTGGCTTTGGCCCAAACCATCAGTTTCTGGGACTAATCATAACAGTTAGAATGTCTTTGCATTCTAGAAATCGTCAAGGAGGTACTCAGATCCAATCTCATTGCAGAGAAGAAACTAACTTCCATGGGCGTGGCATAGTGTTTGGCAGGAGCAAGGAGTTTGGGTAGCAAGGCAACAAATAACCCTTCATACGAACCTATATCTGTACTTGGGAGTATAGGCTCCCATAAAAAAACTCTCATCGACAAACCTTAAAGTAGCTCGACACACGAGCTTCAAGCACAGGGATAAAAATAACCAACCCAAGTCTACAGTCTGACATGATGAACTCCAGACAGCTGAGTCACTTTCAAAATGGCAATTATCATTAATAAACTGTTTCGTAGCAAAAACCTTCTGATTAATTAATACAAAAAGCCAAACACTTGGGAGCCACAAGCTTGAGCGTTAAAGTGTGTAATAACGTGCGTTTCAGTTAATCTGTCTTGTGAAGCAGCCCAACCGGCCGCAAGATGTCGCTATTATTCCTTTTACATCATTTATACTAAAGTATTCAGCCAGCAACACACCTGTGTCCCCCATGGGCCGACTCGTACATAAAACATCCTCCATTCATGCCTCAAAGGCGTCAGTTGCCTTAACTCGATTTAATGACAAAAAAAAAACCGGGGAAAATAGGTGTACCATCTTAATAAAACTATTTTCCACCACCATTTTCAGATTTTCTGACAACTAATGTTGCACATTGCATGAGTGTTGTTTACACCTGGCTTAATGTGCGCCGCAACCTCAGGAAGTAGCATTACCCACCCTAGCATGGTGGTAGGAAATTGTGTTTTATTAAGACAGTACGCATATTTTCCCCCGTTTTTTATGTATTTGATACCATTCCACCTATTCCGCTCCAGTCATTACCAAGAGCCCGTCCTCCCCAATTAAGGTGTCACCAACCTCCTGTGGAGCCTGTCCATGGGGGACACAAATGTATTACCAGCTGCACTGACCGCTCCACACCTAGAGGTAAGACATCAGGAAGAACTGCGCCCTCAAGAGGTATTGATTGGCGCTACTCATGAAGTTGCAAATGACAAGTCACTCACATTGAAATAAATGCTGGACCACAATTTCTAAGAACTCCTATTTTCTCTAATACAAAACCGTGAGAAATATCTCCCATATCAATATAACGTTATTCTAGTGATTTTACGTGTGTGGCTGATGAGTCATGCTTTCAACATTTAAAAAATACAACTGAAACAACACAGCTTAAATCGGTGTAGCCTAAAATTTTACAGAAATAGGGCGCACAAAATGTGAAATAGCAAAGTACAGTCAACGCAGGTGTAATTAATTATATTGACCAAACCACCTGACAGGCACAGTGAAATAGCGCCCTTTCAACAAAGGAAATCCCATTCCACAGGATGTAAACATAATTATTTATTTTTCGCAGAGTCGCACTGAAGTTCAAGAGAATGGTGGCCATGGAACACCCAGGTCCAGACACAAAATTGCGTAATTATTCACGTGTGTTAGCGCAGTTTACGGGATGAGTAAAGACAGCTTGGAACACACAAACACACCATAATACTGGGAGACTTACGGGAGAATCGTAGGAAAAGGCACATTCACTCTTGAAAACCCTGTCTCCTGTTCTGGGAACTCTAATGGTGGGCATATAAGGGACCAGCAGCTCTCCTAGATCTGCAGCCATCTTCCCATTCCTGCTTCTCGCACTACAATGCTATGGGAGTCATTAGAGCAGGCTGTCAGAAGAGAGATCCTATTTTTAAATAATTCCGTCTCGACATTCCTCCAGCGACGGGGGATATGACGCTGAAAACATAACGGGGGAACTCATAAAAAAACACCAAAAAGGTCTTGACAGGTGCGAGGGGTACCCTCTATAAAATGTAATTAAAACTCTCTTTCCAATTGCGTGTGTAATAAAGAATTGTATCGTTCTATTTACAATGACGCACACTGAACGGTGTAACTCGAGCGGTCACACCCACTCAATTGATAAAACCACCCACACAAATGGCTACACCACCAATGTTTTCGCTGAGGACTACTCTATTTTCTCTTTTCTCTAAGGACTACACCTCTTGACTTTTGTGTTGTAGGCTACATGTGATATAAGTTCGGCCAATTAAAGAGTTACTATTTTTGCACAAATGCTGAAGTCCATATAGGTTACTTAAGATACTTTAGGCAATACTTTATACTATCTAAGATACTAGTTAACAGTATTACTGTAATAATAATGTAAAGAATACTGTAAACAGGTGTGGTCCTTTTTGTCTTAATCAGAACAAGAAATACACTACATAGGGGAGACCTAGGACACTTTTGCATTTTTTGTCAATTTCTCATCGTTTCAGCTACTACATTCAAAATGTGATAGGGACAACTTCAATGTCTGCTACAAATTGGTATTGATATTATCTCTCTAAATCAAACAAACAAGGTGTGACTGTCTCAAATACAAGGAATAGAATGTTACAATTTACCCCACCTCCTGGGTCAGTTGTAACAGGGCATGGGATGAAATGTAACAGTTTGAAAAAATGCTCTAATCATGACATGCAACAAGATATTGAAAGCCTTTACTGAGAACATGATAACAACATTGCCATGTTTAACATTTTGTGTAGCAGAAATAATAAAGTCATAATACAAATTATAAAATGTTTATTATTTTTACACTCCATTGACTGGCCCTTCTCAACTAAACAACAACATCTGAACTAAACAACAATGTTTGTGGTGTGTGTGTGTGTGTGTGTGAGTGAATTTGAGAGAGAGATGTGTGTGAATGTTGGACATGTTCACTCAATCAGAGTCACAGTTGTGACAGTGGTATGGTAGTCCTGGTGTACAGGCTTGGTGAGCCCATCATTTGCATTCCCAGCACGGCACCCAGACCTCATTAGGCTTGTTACAACTAACCCTGACCTTTGCAGCCATTAGCTAGCTTAAATTTTAGCTACATGTTAAAACTTTAGCATTGCTAACTTACATCAAATATATCTACACAAACTGGTTATAAACCTGAAATAAGATTGGTGAATCTAACTACAAAGCAGGTGATGCCATCAAAAAAATAAGTTACTTTACCTCAAAATCACATTTTTGTCAATAAAATCTGCAGAGTTTATTACAGGGTCTTGCTTCTTCATATGAGGGTTGAGGACTAAACTGAGCATGTGCACAGTGAGTCACGTGATTTTAGCTTGTTCCTGATTGGAGATATTGAGAGTGTTACAACCATCCCGTGTTACAACTATCCCCGGTCTCCCCTACTTTTAATGGAGGGCAAACAGTTTATTTGACCACACTGACTTTTCAGAGTTGCTACTGAGTACATAAGCGCCAAAATAAAGTTGTTACATACATTTGAGAGCATGAATCTGTTGTTATTTTTGTACCACAAGTCTGCATCTTTTCAATATTATGTGTACACACACTTTTACCCAAGTCTGTTTCCTTTAATTTAATTTGACCAAAACTCCTGTAATCAGTCCAAGTATGCACCTCAATAGTCCCAAGTGGCTTCCCTCATCTGCATTGATATGAAAGTGGACAAGTAAAGCAACTATACTGTGAGTATCGATCATTATATGATATTGTTTTCACTCAGACTGTTTTCATATCAGTGCAGAATGGAGGAGGGAGCAATGTCCTCACAGCACTGCCATCTAGTGGACATTCATGGGTTATGACAGACACTACTCTAAGGTTTGACAATAGAATAAAGGATTTACAGCAAAAGTAAAAGCAACTGCTGCTTTTAACGACCTGTCAGGAACGGGAACGTTGTAATTACATCACAACCTGCCACTGCTGCCAAATGGGAGCAAAACCTCAAAGAAAGTCGTGCACCACTGCAAGCGAATGGGTCATTCAGTATGTACCATTGTAAAACATTTAGCCAAATTAACGTACCCCTGCTAAACAACATTATAATTGTGAAGCCCATTAAGAGAAAGATGGAAAACAGCATTTCAATGTATAGACAGATACTTAATTTTAGTCATGAAGAAAATAATGTACAAACAGTGATCCTGATCGCCAGTGGTGTAAAGTACTTAAGTAAAAATACTTTAAAGTACTACTTAAGTAGTTTTTGGGGGTATCTGTACTTTAATTTACTATTTATATTTTGGATAACTTTTATTTTTACTTCACTACATTCCGAAAGAAAACACTGTACTTTTTACTGCATACATTTTCCCTGATACCCAAAAGTACTCGTTACAGTTGAATGCTTAGCAGGACATGAAAATGGTCAAATTCACGCACTTATCAAGAGAACATCCCTGGTCATCCCTACAGCCTCTGATCTGGACTCACTAAACACAGATGCTTTGTTTGTAAATTATGTCTCAGTGTTGGAGTGTGCCACTGGCTATCCATAAATTAAGAAAATTGTGCCGTCTGGTTTGCTTAATATAAGGAATTTGAAATTATTTATACTTTTACTTTTGATACTTAAGTATATATTAGCAATTACGTTTACTTTTGATACTTAAGTATATTTAAAACCACATACTTTTAGACTTTTACTTAAGTAGTATTTTACTGGGTGACTTTCACTTTTACTTGAGACATTTTCTATGAAGGTATCTTTACTTTTACTCAAGTATGACAATTGAGTACTTTTTCCACCACTGCTGATCACTGACAGTTTAGACTGGGTACACTGGGTGGTTGGACTGGTTGGTTTAATTGTCAGGCGTTGATTTAATGCCGTAGTCGACCAGATTCTTGTCCAGTGTCTCAATCTTGAACCAGGGTCCATCTCCCTTCGTTCTCATCTGCGTACACACCTCTAGCTGTTGCAGTCTGCAGATACAAAAACATAGGATTTGTTGAAAATTAATGTGTACAGATTAAAGATTTATATTGTCGACATTGTCTGTTTACTTTCAAATGTTCCTTCTGTTTTGCTCACACAAAAAAGAAGGAATGCAAGTAAAGTTTGTATTTGTCATATGTACAGGATACACACGGTATACACCGTCCAATCAATCAAATGCATACATGCAGGTTCCTTCTCGACAATGCAACAATAATAAGAAATAATAAAACATAAGAATATGAACATAAAGTAAATGGCTCAGTAGAATAAACATTTGAGCATAAAGTATAATACTGAGAAGGCACAATTTATAGGCCAATACATGTGTTCTGGGGAGGGGGGGGATTGTGGGGCAAGTGTTTAAATTGTGCAGTATTTAGCCATAATAATAATAATAATAATAATAATAATAATAATAATAATAATAATAATCTGGTAGCAGCAGTTGTGATGTGTGTGTAGCATTAATGTATATGTGTGTGTGTGTGTGGATGAGTGTATATCTGTGTGAGTGTGTGTGTGAGTGAGTGCATGTGTGCTAAGGTGCAGAGTGTCAGTGCAGGTGGTCAGTCCAGTTCAAGTGTTCAGCAGTCTGATGTCGACAGAAACTGTCTCTGCTGAGCCTGTTGGTATCAGACCTCATGCTCTGATCTACCCGACGGTAAGGGAGTGAACAGCTCGTGGCTGGGGTGTGTGGGGTCCTTGATGATGCTGCAGGCCTTCTTCAGGCACCGTTTCGAGTAGATATCCTGGATGGGTGGGAGCACAGTCTCAGTGATGTAGTGGGCTGTCTTTACCACCCGCTGGAGGGCCTTGCGGTCATGGACAGAGCAATTCCCATACCAGGATGTGATGCAACCGGTCAGGATGCTCTCAATGATGCAGCGGTAGTATTTGGAAAGGACTCGGGGTAGCATGCCGAATTTCTTCATCCACCTTAGAACGTAGAGACGCTGTTGTGGCCTCTTAACAAAAGTTGTGGTGTTGTTGGTCCAGGTCAAGTCGTCTGTGATGTGGACGGCGAGGAACTTAAAACTGCAGACTCTCTACTGCAGTCCTGTTGATGTGGACCGGGGCATGTTCCCTTCTCTGCTTCCTGAAGTCAACAATCAACTCCTTTGTTTTACTGACGTTGAGGGAGAGGTTGTTGTCCTGGCACCAGAACGCCAGTTCACGTACCTCCTCCCTATAGACTGACTTGTTGTTGGCACAATGTTCACTGTGTGACTCTCACCTCATCTCGCCCTTCTCAGACTCAATCTGAATCAGAGCCATCATTTTCTCATAGTCTTTCACTGGGGAGTCATAGAAGGTCCGTGAGATCCACCTCGTGATAGGATGCTGCAAATATAGGGACAACAATAGGACTCAAAATCTACTTTGCCCAAGTCTGATTGTAAGCAACCTCCAGAGGATCACCAATGTGAATAACTTTGTTTAGGGTTATAGATGATTGCCATTTAATTTTCTGATAAAATGATTAGTCACTTTTTCCAAATAAGACATGGATTGTGATAAGAGAAAACAACTGTGACAACAAAGGGCTCATAGTACCTTGTAATACTCCCAATGCTCAGGCTAGTCCTCAGGAATCTCAGCCAGCTCAGCCTCACCTTAAAAAACAGAATCATATATTCAGTTTAATTTCTCATTTACCATGTTTCTCCAAAAACATGGATCAAAAGTGCCAGCGCTTGTATTGGAGTGCTGTCATTGTAATCCCTGTCACATATTGAAATTTGAACATTTCTGTACATCAATGGAAATATCTACACACACTTACCGACAAACACATTCACAGATGTCATAAAGACCGCAACTGGGTAAGCAGGATGTAGAATTTCTAGAAAGAAAAGTGGGGGTTGAATAAGATAGTAAACTCTGTGGTTCAGTGCTGGGGACAGTTGTCCCTAAACCAAACAATATAGTTTATTTTGCAGTAGGCTAGTTCTAGTCTGAATAACTAGCTCCTTACTAATAATTGCAGAAACCTCCTGTCATAGAAGCCAGTGGACTTGATGACAAACATCTGCTTCCCATGGCTTACCCAGTGGACTGCCACTGCAAAGCAAAGTTTTCAGGGATGTTAGGCATTGCAACACATTATTTATGTGGGAATAATAAGTGCATCACTGTATTGTTGCACAAAATCAGGTACAAGTAACTGCCAAAATAAAGGAAACACCAACATAAAGTGTCTTAATGGGCTGTTGGGCCACCATGAGCCTTGGCATAGATTCTACAAGTGTCTGGAACTCTATTGGAGCATTATTTATGTGGGAATAATAAGTGCATCACTGTATTGTTGCACAAAATCAGGTACAAGTAACTGCCAAAATAAAGGAAACACCAACATAAAGTGTCTTAATGGGCTGTTGGGCCACCATGTACCTTGGCATAGATTCTACAAGTGTCTGGAACTCTATTGGAGCAAAATTACACCATTCTTCCACGAGATGTTCCATAATTTGGTGTTTTGTTGATGGTGGTGGAAAACACTGTCTCAGGCGCCGCTCCAGAATATCCCATAAGTGTTCAACTGGGTTGAGATCTGGTGACTGAGAGGCCATGGTAGACATCGTTTTCATGCTCATTAAACCATTCAGTGACCACTCGTGCCCTGTGGATGGGGGCATTGACATCCTATGGGGGCATAGCCATGGTAGCCAAAATAATGGCCTGCCCAGCATTTTATACATGACCCTCAGTTTGATGGAATGTTAATTGCGTAATTAACTAAGGAACCACACCTGTATGGAAGCACCTGCTTTCAATATACTTTGTATCCATCATTTACTCAAGTGTTTCCATTATTTTAGCAGTTACCTGTACTTTGGAACGGTAGCTTGCTAGCTACCATTTAGCCCATTCATATAGACGCTAACTACCTTTAGCGCCTATTGATGATAGTATCTTCTGGCCGGGGGAGTTTAGTTAAATGCCCTGATGCTTGTTATAAACATTAACATGCATCGCTTGCGGTACGGTTTTGGAAACATAAGGAACGTATCTTTAATATCAGCTAGAAATAATTTTCAAAAAACAAAAAGGTTAAATTACTACACACCTTTATAGGGTTAGGGTTAGTGTTCCCACATGGCCATCTCTCCATGTTACAGCATGTGTTTACAGAAGACAGACGGAAGACAGAGGGACCACCTGTGCTAATAAGCTATCTAGCACACTCCGAACACCTGTGTGTAACTGAAGAAGAGCTGGGTAGAGCTAGTGTGTTTATGGCTGAGGGGAGAGATGGAGGAAGTGGATGCTGAGTTTGAATCAAGCAGCACGTTGAGCACAGTTGGTTAAGATGAATGTCCTGAATGGACAACAGTAGTGTCGAAAAATGGAACAAAAAGGAAATTGTCTAAAATTGGAGTGGAGGATATGTGTATGAATAATAATGAATCGTTTCTTGTTGGGATGCGTTTGTTGAGTAAGGATGCATGTGGGAGACCCGTTTGAGGTGTCAAATTTTGAAGCATGCGCTGGGAGTCTATCAGAGTGACCAGGAGTGGTCTAATTTTGATTCATTGTATTTCTGAAGAACAGAGGAAGATTGCAGAGGGCCTGAAAAGAATCCGGACAACAGAAGTATCGTGCTTTGAACTTTGGAGCAGATCACCCATCAAAGTAGTCATCTCAGGGGTGGTGCCCAGCATCTGACCCGCTGGGTGAATGGAGAATAAAAAGAAAGTCTGTCGGTCCTGTTGTTTTTTTATACCTACGCATGTGAAGCTTGGTTATGTAAGATACGCTGTAAGAGCTTTTGTCCCCAAACCACTGCAGGATAAAATGTTTAAAGGATTTGGCCATGTTTCAAGTGTGTGCAGACGGACGCCTGTGTTGCAATTGTGGTGGGGATCATGATCCTGAGTTCCTGGAGTGCCCTGTAAGGGTGAAGGAGATTGAAGTGGCAAAGGTTAGAGTGGTCAATCAAATCTCCTATGCAGAGGCGATCAAAAGAGTTGAGAAAACAAGTGAAGCTAGTGAAGATTTGATAGTGGATGCACCACAGCCTTAAATGTTTTCTGCCAGTCAAAAGATACCCGGTGTGTTAAAAAGGTGGATTGTTTGGGGTTCATTGCCACAGTGATAAACTGTATGGCTGAAGTCTCAAAGAAGTCAAAGAAACTTGACATTATTGTGGCTGTGGCAGAAAAGTTTTTGGGATTTAAGGATTTTGCATCTGAAGACTTGCAGGGGGGAACTGGCGCTGGGAGACGGCCCGCCCTCCCAGGCTCCCCTTGAGCCTGTGTAGGGATGAGATCTGTTAGACTTTTAACAGAAATGTTGTATGATTTAGTTTATTTATGAAAAAAAAAAAGTTGTTTGGTAGTTTATTCCGTTTTTGGGGAATACTGTTTCCATCTCGCACAGTAGGTGGCTGGATGCACACTAAATTGTGTGAATGGCACTATACCATAGAAGAAGTGGTAGTAATGGAAGAAGGCCGCCAGAAAGGTTGGTGGGAAGATGGTGGTAGGGCGGTAAGTGGTTAAGAGCGTTGTGCCAGTAACCGAAAGGTCGCTGGTTCTAATCCCCGAGCCGACTACGTGAAAAATCTGTCGATGTGCCCTTGAGCAAGGCACTTAACCCTAATTGCTCATGTAAGTCGCTCTGGATAAGAGCGTCTGCTAAATGACTAAAATGTAAGATGTAAAAATAAGATAGCGGAAGTGGATGCTGAGTTCGAATCAAGCAACGCGTCGAGCAAATTTGGTGAAGACGAATGTTCTGAATGGACAACAGTAGTATCAAAACTGGAACAAAAATTAAATTGTCTAAAATTGGAGTGGAGGATACATGTGTGAATAATAATGAATCACTTCTTGTGGGATGCGTTTGTTGATTAAGGATGTATATGTGGGAAACCTGTTTGAGGTGTTGAAAATGGTGAAACATGCGCTTGGAAAAGTGGAGTCTGTCAGAGTGACCAGGAGTGGTCTTATTTTGATTCATTGTATTTCTGAAGAACAGAGGAAGATTACAGCGGGCCTCAAAAGAATCCGGACAACAGAAGTTTTGTGTTTTGAGCTTCGGAGTAGAGTACGCGTCAAAGGAGTCATCTCAAGGGTGACGATGGATGTTCATGTTGAATACCTGCAGAGAATTCCTGGTGTGGTTGGTGCCTGGCGTCTGACCCGCTGGGTGAATGGAGAAAAGAAGAAAGTATGTCGGTCCTGTTGTTTTTTGATAAAGAGCCAATACCTACGTATGTGAAGCTTGGTTATGTAAGAGCTTTCGTCCCCAAACCACTGCAGTGTAAGAATTGTAAAGGATTTGGCCATATTTCAAGTGTGTGCAGACTAACAAAGTATACGGAAGACCGGTGTGTAGAAGGACGACGGTGTTCCAATTGTGGTGGGGATCATGATCCTGAGTTCCTGGAGTGCCCTGTAAGGGTGAAGGAGATTGAAGTGGCAAAGGTTAGAGTGGTCAATCGAATCTCCTATGCAGAGGCGATTAAAAGAGTTGAGAAAACAAGTGAAGCTAGTGAAGATTTGATAGTGGATGCACCACAGCCTTAAATGTTTTCTGCCAGTCAAAAGATACCCGGTGTGTTAAAAAGGTGTATTTTGTTGTGTTCATTGCCACAGTTATAAACGGTACAGCACAAGTCTCAAAGAAGTCTAAGAAACTGGATATTATTGTGACTGCGGTAGAAAATTATTTGGGACTCAAGGATTTTACATCTGAAGACTTGCAAGGGGTACTTGCGCCGAAAGACCCGCACTCCCAGGTTCCCCTTCAGCCTGTGTAGGGTTCAGATCTGTTTTATTTTTGTAACAGAAAAGTTGTTTGATTTATTTATTTAATTTATGTATTGGTCGTTTTTTGGTAGTTTGTTACGTTTTTGGGGGAATCCTGTTTCCATCCCGCATAGTAGGTGGCAGGATGCACATTAAATTGTGTGATCGCCAATATAGCATAGAAGAACGCCGCCAGAAACGTGTTATCACTGGAAAATACTGTCCGCTGCAACTGTGATAAAGCCATATTTAGCATTTGTGAAATTATTTTGATGGAATATGAAAGTAAAGGGCTTTATGTTTTTAGAACTGTTAGAAATTGCGTAATTCAAATCTGGTATTGGAATAAGAATCAAGAGATCTTCAATCCAAGCTTAATTTATTATATGCAAAATGTATGTATGATAAGTATGAAGGTTCGTATATACGGGTCCGCTGAAATACCACGCAGGGCACTCAGAGAACTGATCCATTGTTACCGGTTCTTCCTCAAATACTCTGACAGAGAGAGAGTTCCCACCTCTCTGCTGGCCAATCAGAGTAGACGCTGAGCGTGGTTTAGACTTACTCAGCCAATCCGTTGGCGCACGGGTTGGTCCCAACCCCTCGGCGCTCCATTTGTTGCACACTGTTGCCAGGCATAAGTTTATCATAACAACCTGTGGAGTCAGCACCCAAAAGACACCATTCCACTGTACTACGTTCAAGGACGGTTCACAGATCACAAAGAAGCAGTGTTCGTATCTGTGAGAAATACAAGTCTTATCTCATCCTAGCCCCTAACGTTCCTCACATGAATCACAGCCTGTTATGTGAAACAATTTATATCAGTATAGTTCAAACCTATGCTCCTCATTAATGCATTCCTTCTAAGCTATTAATCACATACAGATCCAATTATGAGAAAACAAATCCCAACAGAACCATATCGCAATTGAGAATCGATTCACTTTTAGATGGAGTATATGGTGGCTGTTTTGGTTGGCAGAGCCAGTCTACCTCTGAAAAGAACATAAGGTCCTTGGACCTTAAAGCTGCAATATGTAACTTTTTGGGCAACCCGACCAAATTCACATAGAATTATGAGTTACATATTTGTCATTCTCATCGAAAGCAAGTCAATGAAGCGGGATATCTGTTCCATGTGCGCTATTTCTATTATACCCTAAGTTTTGTTTTTGCAACTTTTACTTTCAGTTTTGTACACCAGCTTCAAACAGCTGAAAATACAATATTTTTGGTTATTGGAAATATTTCACACCGGTTTCGATGGTATAATGATTCTCTACACTGCTTGTTTTGTCACAAACTGAAATTAGGCGAACTATTAGAATTTTAGCAACCAGGAAATGGCAAGCAATTTCTGCAAATTGCACCTTTAAGGAGTAAGGTAACTTTAGGCTCCTTAAGAGTACATCTTGGGCTAGCAGTATCAATGTAACCTTTGTTTTTTGAAAATTATTTATTGCTGACATGAAAGATGAGGTCCTTTTGTTTCCAAACCTTACTTGAAGCAGGGTTGCCAGGTCCGATTAAACATTTCCAACCCAATGACCACGCAAAACCCGCTCAAAAGGACTGAAAACTAGCCCCCCCAAAATTTCACAGCAAGAGAGGAGTTGCCATATTTATACAATAAACCCTTTTTCCATAACCTTATTGACCCAATTAAGAAGCAAAATTCAGTTTTCCTCAAAATAATAATTATTGCGAGCTATGTCATGACGTAATAAAGGAATTTGAATATGTCGCAAGAGAAAAGATCATTCGCCCTTATTAAACTCGCCAAATCATTTCCCATCAATCAGCATTCAGGGCTCGAACCAGGTTTATAATTGTAAATAAATCCCCTTTGCGCATGTGCATAACTATAGATGAATCCGACAGGAGAGTTTGAGTCATGAAAGTTGGACAGAGGATCTCGAAATCTCTGGGCAAGAAACAATTGGACGAACATTTAAAAAATCTAATGTTAGGCAATTTTCTGGCAATTGTGCTGTTATTATGTGCCAGATGTTAAGACTACAAACCGTTATAAATGGCCCATTTGCGAGATTGACTTGTAATTTCAATAGGCATAGGCTACAGACTAAAATCTGGGTTTATGATTGTAATTTAACTTTGCCATGGTTTACTTACATAAAGGAAGGTAGCCTATAGCCCTTGATAGGCCTACATCTAATTTCAGATAGTCTACAGTAGCCTAGACAAGATGTAGGCAAGATTTAAACTGAACGATTTAGTAGTTAACTTAGTTCAAATTAACAGACGAATTTATTCAACATGAATAAGATGTGCTTGTGTTTCCCAATAGCCTGCTGGAATAGGCTACTGAGGATGGGGTCATAATTTCAATCACTGAATTAAATATTAATAATATGTATATGAACTGAATATGCTTGTCAACAACAGCCAGTGTTATTTTATTTTATTACCCTCAATCTAATGCGTTCTTACAACTGATAGGCAATTGCGATAGAGCTTTGATAATTTCCAATTTAATTAACTAAACATGTCCATTAATAATTGCATAAAAACATAAGCCTACAACAACAATACATTGAAGTTGGAGGCTATTTATTAAATTGGTTTGCCAGCTCCAGGTAGGCTACAGTGATATCATAATTTCAACATATTTATTGTATCAAATGGCAGCCTACAATGGCATATAAATTAATAGACTACTTGATGGCCAACAGAGGCAAATGTATCATTCTCCACATTTAATGTCAGTTTCATTGAGGACTTTTCCCCATAAAAAGAACCACGCGAGGAAGTTCCATAACTTCCATTTCAAATTTTCACTCGGGCAGCCTCAGAGACCCAAGAACTGATAATGCATAAAACACTTATAGGCTACCTGTCTTTATCAAAGCAAACCATGGCAAAGTTGAATTACAATCATAAACCCAGATTTTAGTCTGTAGCCTATGCCTATTGAAATGACAAGTCAATCTCGCAAATGGGCCATTTATAATTGTTTGTAGTCTTAACATTTGGCACATAATAACAGCACAGTTGCCAGAAAATTGCCCAACATGGAAAAGGGATTTATTGAATAAATATGGCAACTCCTCTCTTGCTGTAAAAACAAAAACAAAAAATGTCCTAGAAAAAAATTATCTGTCAAATGAGATTTGTATATTGTTATTTGCAGTGGCAAGAAACACTTGAAAGTAGGATGTCCAACTAGCAAATTTGTGACAGCAGGAAGCTAGCCAGCCACGGGACTAGGCACAAGGTCACAACAAGAAATGGCCACCACTAAGGAAGGAATTGTAGATATTCGGCAAGCGTTAAATTGTAATTTAACTTTAGCTGTGCGTACTGCAGTTCTGCTGAGCAAATTCACCGCAGAATTCCACGATTTAACCTGACTGCAAAAGCAGCGGCAGACCAAAGAACACTCATGCCCACCATCGCTACTGCGGCCAGGCAGACCGTTCTGTAATAGGTCCGTGACTACAGTGTGAAGCCAAAACAGCCATATTTGCGAAGGGAAAAAATATGCGAATAAGATTTTAACAAAGTAAAGATTTTATGTTAACATTTCATTTCTACTATGTTGATTTTTTTATTAACTTTTGTTCATGTATCAAATTACAAAAAGTGTTTCTAATGAGTTTTTGTTTTATTTATTCTGATGATGCATTCTGGGTAGGGAATTATAGCAAAGATGGCGGCGACCTCAGCAGGACGCGTTTTGACACTTTGCAGACAGTTTCAAAAAGCTTTTAGGATATCTACATCGTTAGCCGCCCAACAGTCTGCTCTCACTTTGACCAAATCTCAATCTTATCCTCATAGGTAAGAATCTAATGCAGAATATAACAGTAGTTCGTTAGCTACAGAACCCTAGTAACTAACCTTTCATAATCATGGCACTGAGAGAGAATGAAATGGCGACTGGCGAGGATGCTGCTGAATGGATTACCATTCATCATAATTCAGTACCTGAATCTGCTGTGTTCACCTCTTTGTTAGGTTAACGTATCCACTTTTGAGCTCAAATTGGCACTGTCATGTGGGCCTTGTTGGTCAGTTTCGGCCTCTGCATACTACCATCAGCAGAAGAGGACTTGAGGAGTTTTTCGACATACCTGAAAATTGGGGGGAGGCGACAGTGAAGTCAGGTAAGACTTTTTGCCAATATATCGACTGATCACCAAAGCAAATTTTTTTAATAATTCCCTCAGACTAAGGGACTGGTAAGTAGATGAGTGTAACATTGATTATTTTAATGATTCATTGTAGGAGCACCATGGACTGCCAAGCAACTAAGGTCGAAAAGTAATGAAGATTTACACAAGCTCTGGCAAGTAGTGAATGTTGACATTGAATGAAGACCACTGACCTCCAGAATGAATGTCCATAAACTAAATTGAGATAATCTTGTTTTCACTGTTATCACAGGTATGTGCTCCTGAAAGAGAAGAACATGTTGCTTACCATTGAGCAGGAGTCCAAAAGGCAAAGAATTCAGATGCCAAGTCCAGAGCGCCTAAAGAAGGTAAATATGACATAGGCCTATGTCTTCTGACCAGGTTCATTAATATTGAACATTTAGAGATATTCCTAGTAGAGCACAGTCATTTAGTGACCGTCTACTCCAGTCCACACAAATGGAGACCACCCTTATATCCTCAGATTGAAAGGTCCATGAAGAGACTGGACACAGTGGTGAAGGAGAGAGAAGACGCCCTCCGCCTGCTCCAGACAGGCCAGGAGAGAGCAAGACCTGGGGCCTGGAGAAAGGACATCTTTGGACGGGTCTACTGGTACGGAGCTTCCATACACAATACACCACTATGATACATAGACCAAAGTATCTCCTTCCACAATAACCAAATGTTGCTTTTACTTTACTGGCCTTGTTTCCCATTCAATTTTCAAGCATACTGTACAAAATGTAGCATGTTAGCATGGCCTAGATTGAGTGAAGTGTTGTTGAATCGTCTTTGGAAAACTATCGGGGGAGAGGAATTACCTGCTCGAAGCAAACAAAGGCAGTTTCCCTAAAATATTCAGCGTTACTTTACATGTGTCAAATGGTAAGATTGTATGTCATTGCTAACTCTGCGATCATAAATGTTTTTCTAGGTACCGGTTTAGAGAGCATGCCCTTCCCTGGTACATGAACAATAGATACAAACGCAAACGTTTCTACACACCCTTATTTGTCACCCCCCATATGAGGTAAGGAACATCGTTCATGCATTAATTTATAACCGTACAATATCAGTACCTCCAAGCTGAGAATCATGTCACATCACCTTTACAAAAACAAATGCAATCATCTGTTGTCACAAGTAGTCTTCTTTCTTTTTTCCAGGCTTCGTCTAGAGAAACACCTCCGTGCTAAGACCAGAATGCAGAACAAAGAGAGAGAAAAACAAGCCGCACTCCAGGAGAAGTTCCCCCAAATGAAGGCCCAGTCATCATGAGACCTTCATTGACCAAGAAACATCATTCTCCCTCCTGCAATTCACACTGGAGCATGTGTCTGTATCTAAATGAATTTACCCTGTTTTTTGCATAAATATGTGTCATCAGCTTTTATTTAATGTACTTTTTCATGTTGGTAAACTGTGGCATTTGTATGTCTTCCTCTGTATCATGATGCCTTGACATTGATTATATGGTTATTCTTATTAAAGTGATATACAGACACTGTTTGTGGCATATTTTAAACCACAGAATTCCAAATATGTCCTTGAACATAACTAAAATTGTTCAAGTCGAAAGATTGCTCCAACAATAAATTGTGGGTAAATAAATATTCTAATATTAATCAATCTAACTTTTGAAATGCTGTAAGCCCTTACCAGCCATTGGCACTGCAGGTATTCTGAACATTGTCTATGGTGAACAGGATCTTTTTCATAACTTTTTGACCGCTCAGACAAGTGTGACACAAACTAATTAAGAAAGTGAACATTGTCTAACATCAAAGTTTGAGTTGTACAGCTTCAACACTTACCTACATTACGCCAAGACAGATCTTGAACTTCCATTCCATGAATGGTCAATGGTGAAACCCCTATAAGCCAGTGATATAGAAATGTATTAGAATAGGTTTGCTTTGGACTTCTTATGAAAATAATTTAATGTATAAAATGTATTTGACAGGGACAAATAACCAGCTGGCTTTGTGATGTCACAATGATGTAATAAAAACAGACAGTTAGATATGTGTGTAGCACGGTAGCCCATTTGATCTGGAAATAATGACCACTACTGATGAAAAAGGAAAACGATAAGGTATGGAATAATGTATTTGAATGCTATTATTCATATAGCTGTTATATCTATAGCATTGCAGCGTCTTTTGAAGGAGATAGGCAAGGGATAATTTTGCTTTGGTTAATATTTCAAGTGAAAGAAAACATGACCATGCAAACTGAAAAGTGGGCCAAATGCATATTGGTCAAATCTACAATTTCTAAATTTGGAGTTGGGCCTACTGAATTTTTTTTCATAAGGCTTTGATGGTAGGCTTCTGATTTGGGGTGAAGTATACATTTACATTTTAGTCATTAAGCAGACGCTCTTATCCAGAGCGACTTACAATTAGTGCATTCATCTTAAGATAGCTAGGTGAGACAACACATCACAAAAGTACATTTTTACTCAAAGTATTTATTAGCAAAGTCAGTGCCTTTTTTGGAGGGAGAGGAGGGTGTCAGGGGCGCCTTGAGAGTTATTTACTCTTCAAAGAGATAGGGTTTCAGACGTTTTTGGAAGATGGGCAGGGACTACTCTGTCCTGACTTTAGGGGGAAGCTTGTTCCACCATTGGGGTGCCAGGACAGAGAAGAGCTTTGACTGAGCTGACCAGGAGCTGCCCTCCCATGGGGGTGGGAGGACCAAGAGACCAGAGGTGGCGGAACAGCGTGCTGGGGTTGGGATGTGGGGTTGAGCATAGCCTGAAGGTAAGGAGGGGCAGTTCCCCTTGCTGCTCAGTAGGCAAGCACCAGGGTCTTGAAGATGATGCAAGCTTCGACTGGAAGCCAGTGGAGTGTGCGGAGGAGTGGGGTGACATGGGAGAACTTACCCACTTGACACACACTGGTTGAATCAACGTTGTTTCCATGTAATTTCAATGAAATTACATGGAACCAACGTGAAATAGACATTCAATTGACGACTGTGCCCAGTGTGTAGGAAGGTTGAACACCAGACGGGCTGCGACATTCTGGATAAGTTGCAGGGGTTTGATGGCACAAGCAGGGAGCCCAGCCAACAGAGAGTTGCAGTAGTCTAAACGGGAGATGACAAGTGCCTGGATTGGGACCTGTGCCGCTTCCTGTGTGAGGAAAGGTCGTACTCTACAGATGTTATAGAGCATGAACCTGCAAGAGCGAGTCACTGTTTTAATGTTTGCAGAGAACGACAGAGTGTTGTCCAGGGTCACGCCAAGGTTCTTTGCACTCTGGAAGGGGGACACCGTGTAGTTGTCAACCGTGATGGAGAGGTTTTGGAGCAGGCAGGCCTTACCCGGGAGGAAGAGCAGCTCCTTTATGTCGAGGTTGAGCTTGAGGTGGTGGGCCGACATCCACGCTGAGATGTCTCAGATGAAGAAGGGGGGAAGAAGAAGAGTAGTTGAGTGTCATTCGCATAGCATTGATAAGAGACCATGTGAGGATATGACAGAGCAGAGTGACTTGGTGTAAAGAGAAAAGAGGAGAGGGCCTAGAACCGAGCCCTGGGGGACACCAGTAGTGAGAGCATGTGGTGCTGACACAGATCCTCTCCACGCTACCTGGTAGGAACGACCTGCCAGGTAGGATGCAATTCAGGAGTGGAAGAGCCGGATCTGATGGTTCACGGTGTCGAAGGCAGTGGATAGATCTAGGAGGATGAGAACAGAGGAGAGAGAGTCAGCTTTGGCAGAGCAGAGAGCCTCTGTGAATAATAAGGTAGGCTTAAACTGTAATAAGATAGACCTTATAAATACCATAGCAGGAGACATGCATGTGCTTTGCAGACATACAGGGATCTAGACTGGTATTTGGGGCAAACATTGGGTTTTTAAATCCTGGTGAAAGCAGTTTGTATGTAAAAAGGGGCTCTATATTAGCCTGGTGGAACCAGCCTGATCGATACGTTCACCATTCTATTTCACTTCATGTATCAGTAAAACAGAATTGTGAACGCAGTGATCAGGCTGGTTCCAGTAGGCTAGCTCTAGGCTAAATCCATTGGAATTCAATCACTTTTTGACAGCATCTCTTTTGATTTATACAAAACTTTCCATATATGTTTGCCCATGGAAGAAGTGGTCAGATAGTGGCTTTTTGCCAAAACATTCAGGAAATAAAGGTGCTCAAAGTTGACCCATTTTGCATACCCCACCATACAATGAGACATCCATGTCTTCATCACTGGAAAAGATAAACGGTTGAGTTTGATATAATTTAAAATCTTACAAACAGGGTTTTATCATATATTTTATTACCTTTAACGTACAGTGCATTCGGAAAGTATTCAGACCCCTTCCCTTTTTCCACATTTTGCTATGTTACAGCCTTATTCTAAAATTGATTAAGTTAATTATTTTACCTCATTAATCTACACACAATACCCCATAATGACAAAGTGAAAACAAGTTTTTATACATTTTAGCAAATGTATAAAAGATAAAAAACAGAAATACCTTATTTACATAAGTATTCAGACCCTTGCTATGAGACTCGAAATTAAGCTCAGGTGCATTCTGTTTCCATTGATCATCCTTGAGATGTTTCTACAACTTGATTGGAGTCCACCTGTGGTAAATTCAATTGATTGGACATGATTTGGTAAGGCACACACTTGTCTATATAAGGTCCCACAGTCAGAGCAAAAACCAAGCAATGAGGTCGAAGGAATTGTCCATAGAGCTCAGAGACAGGATTGTGTCAAGGCACAGATCTGAAGAAGGGTACCAAAAAATGTCTGCAGCATTGAAGGTCCCCAAGAACACAGTGGCCTCCATCATTCTTAAATTGACGTTTGGAACCACAAAGACTCTTCCTAGAGCTGGCCGCCCGGACAAACTGAGCAATCGGGGGAGAAGGGCCTTGGTCAGGGAGGTGACCAAGAACCTGATGATCACTCTGACAGAGCTCCAGATTGCCTGGCTTTGTGAAGATGGGAGAACCTTCCAGAAGGACAACCATCTCTGCAGCACTCCACCAATCAGGCCTTTATGGGAGAGTGGCCAGATGGAAGCCACTCCTCAGTAAACGGCACATGACAGCACGCTTGGAGTTTGCCAAGAGGCACCTAAAGACTCTCAGACCATGAGAAACAAGATTATCTGGTCTGATGAAACCAATATTGAAATATTTGGCTTGAATGCCAAGCATCACATCTGGAGGAAACCTGGCACCATCCCTACGGTGAAGCATGGTGGTGGCAGCATCATGCAGTGGGGATGTTTTTCAGCGACAGGGACTGGGAGACTAGTCAGGATGGAGGGAAAGATGAATGGAGCAAAGTACAGAGAGATCCTTGATGAAAACCTGCTCCAGAGCGCTCATGACCTCAGACTGGGGCAAAGGTTCACCATCCAACAGGACAACGACCCTAAGCACACAGCCAAGACAACACAGGAGTGGCTTCAGGACAAGTCTCTGAATGTCCTTGAGTGGCCCAGCCAGAGCCTGGACTTGAACCTGATCTAACATCTCTGGAGAGACCTGAAAATAGTTGTGCAGCAACGCTCCCCATCCAACCTGACAGAGCTTGAGAGGATCTGCAAAGAAGAATGGGAGAAACTCCCCAAATACAGGTGTGCCAAGCTTGTAGCGCCATACCCAAGAGGACTCGAGGCTGTAATCGCTGCCAAAGGTGCTTCAACAAAGTACTGAGTAAAGGGTCTGAATACTTATTGTGTGTAGATTGATGAGGATATTTTTTTTATAAATCCATTTTAGAATAAGGCTGTAATGTAACAAAGTGTGGAAAAAGTCAAGGCAAGGGGTATGAATACTTTCTGAATGCACTGTAAATGATCTCAAACATTTTTTTTCCTAGTTGCATATATTGTAGCTTAGACCATACTTTGCATCATCTGAGGTTTTTGTGTCGTGTCCACCATCGGTTGAGACACAACATGCTCTTAGTTGAAGTGTTTTTAGATAATTTACATTTAAAGGTAGACTCAGTAAGATTACATTGCCAAAAGCAACACCGCAGATATTGAGATGAGCGAGATGAAAGACTCACACAGTTACACACAGTGTCTGCGCATGTGCACGACTAGCTAGTGCCCCAAAACAGGAGAAGTTGAGCATCGCGCTTCATCGCTCTTAGTTGTTGCGGAAATGTACCCCCTATGCTGTTTACTTTCTGCAGCTACGTCATATCGCTGAGTCTACCTTTAAGGTAAAAAAAATTACATTATAATTTTTTTATGTTCAAGAAATATGAAACAGTTTGACAACCCTGTTTGTAAGCTTTTCAATTATATCAATGTCAACCATTTATCTTTTCCAGTGATGAAGAGATGTCTCATGGTATGGTGGGGTATGCAAAATAGGTCAACTTTGAGCACCTTTCTCTCTTGAATGTTTTGCCATTCAGGTCCAAAAAGTCACTTTCTGAGCACTTCTACAATGGGCAAATATGTATGGAAGGTTTCCTTCAAATCAAAAGGGGTGCTGTCAAAAAGTGATTGAATTAAAATGGAATTACCCTTTAGACTTTATATGATAAGGTGTGTCTGTGTATGTCATGGTGCCCAGCCCCCTTATTTTGACGGAAAATAGCAAAAGGAGAATTCTG